GAAAGCGGAACCAGCTGTTCAAACCCACCCAAGGCTGCCCGCTGGGATTGAAACGATGGGACGGGGCGCGACTTCTCAGAAAGGGCTCACTGAGTGCAGCGTGGTTAAGATCTTGAAGAAGCTTACGGCTGCCGTGAATACTCAGAATAAGAACTCTGAGCTAAAGTTGGATCACATCGTGGAGCAGCTCACTGCGGTCGTGAGGTCTCAGAATCGGCTCTTTGAGCACAAGAATGACAAGACCACGGAGTGCAAGTTTGATAACATCATGGAGAAGCTCACGGCTCTCCAACGGGAGATTGAGAGACCAGTGTCGGTGTCGGAGTGTTAAAGAACAGCTTTGAAATTCTCATGAGTTATTCGCACAAAAGAAAAATTACCATCATAATGCGGCTATCCCTTCGGCGCTAGCTGTGGGCTCAAGGCTGGAGCTGAATAAAACTCTAAACGACTGTGTTTAGACTGTTCTTCCCACTGCATGCAAGGCCACCTGGGTTGGCTTGTAGACTGTTTACTTAGCCAGGTAGGGCGAAGGACACTGAACTATGGACACGCACACACATACATTTACACTGACAAGCACTCACTCATCCCCCTCCCCTTCCAACGCCTTCGATGCTTGTTGCCTCCTGGGGAATACGGGCGGGTCTGGGCCCGCGCTGGAGAGTCGGCGCAGTGGCAGGATGGCTGCTGTGTTGCCTGGGATTACTCCTCATCCCCTACACAACCCTGTTGCTGGTCACGTGCTCTATAATGTTGTACTGTGGACATTTATGTGCTTTCTGTGCAGAGGTGGTTTTTTTGTTTCCTGTTCTCATGCTGTCCTCCAGCCCAGCATGAGTAGAGGTCTCTTTTTTTCCTCTTATACTTTCGCATTGTAGTGTACATTTCAGTGGTTTTTCTGTAATGCAACCGTTCTCTGACTTGTATCCCCATCTGATGTCTGTGTTGTATGTGTAAGGTCGGGAGGCGGGTTCATTCCACTGCAGGGCAACCTGCCACTGCATGTGGTGAATAAAATTTGAACTTGAACTTGGTGCAAAAAGTCTAATCCCAGAGTTCCAGGCTCGTCTCTTGTAGAGAACCTTGTGGATGGTTTTAGCATCTATAACAACTCAGTGTCACCTTTAATAAACTCTTAGTGAAGTTGTTCCTTTGATCTCAAGGAAATCTCCAAAAGAACAGGGCTCTGCAGATGTAGCCAGCTGTTCATTTTCTCCCATTTGTTTAGAAATTTTGTTTTCCTTTGTCATGTCCCATTTTACCCAGGTGGCCTGTGTTCAACTCCCAGTATGGGAATTGTCCTTTTTTACTGAGATCTATATGAAACTGAACTTTGTGGAAGAACTGGCCTGGCAGAGGGATCAAGCTTGAAAATATGTACTGCAGGTTAGGGGTGCCTAAGGCCCGAGGTGAAACTGGACTAATAAGTAAAGAGAGTCTATCTAAAAAGTGGAAGGAGTAATTTGAGAAGCTCATGAATGAAGTGATGAGTGAATCAGGAAAAGAATGAAAAGTGCAAGAACAGTTGTTTAAATGCCATAGGTATGGAGATATGAAGGAGAGAGTGTAACATGGTAGACTAATGTGCCTGTGTTAATTCAGCTCCATATTATTGTGTGAAGTTGCACTGGGTTGGGAGTGGTTTTGTGTGTGTGTGTCACATTTTTGGTGAGCCAATGGCTGGAATGGGGTTGGACTAATTAGAGGCAGGTGTACTTTGATTGCACTGATACACTGGTCTACTTATAGCCCACACTACAAACACTGCTGTGTCGTTTTGTCTCTCTGTGCAGGTATGTAATGTGATGAAATCAGATATGTTTGGGATGGATGGGTTTTGTGCTATGAATTCTATAGTGAAAGTGTCATTTTGTCTCTCTGTGCAGGCCAGGGCCTATTATATGCCACAGCCTAAAGGCAGCAGAGTTGCAGAGGCTGGAGTGACCACTGGCTATATGCTTGCAGGGTGGTGGGTCTCCAAGGACAACTTCTAACCCTGTTAAAGGCAACACGTGGAGTGCACCTGGCCGTGTGGCATAGCTGGCTCTGGCCTTGGGACTGTGTGTTTTTTATATGATTCATAAATGGGACACTGGACTGTTTTATCTTTTATCTCTTGATATTTTTTGTCAATAAATTATCTTTTAGAATTTTATTGACTGTCATCTTTTTGCCCATGACTGAGACGGTTGGTCAGACCTAGAATCTTTCTTTGGGTGTGTTACAGAGAGGGCCTGCAATTTTTATATATATTTTTTTCAGCCTTTTACTGGCTTTATTACACAGATACAGTGAAGGCTAACAAGAAAGCAGAGGGGGAGACATGGAGCAATGGGTCGGACTCAAACCCGAGCCAGCCGCTCGCAGCCATGCAGCGTATGGTCACCTGCTCGTCCAACTGACCTAAACCAGCACCCAGGGGCTTCAATCTTTGGGGAAAAAAATGTCAAATATTAGTAGCTAGCTAACACTACAGCTTGCAGTGGGATGTGTTGGTTTAAAGTTGAAATAATTAAAAGGTAAGATAATCAATTTAAATCATTATCTAACAGCATGAATAACAAATAGAGTTGTTAGCTAATCGTAACGACAAACTGGGACAGCTAAACATAACCAACAGCTATTAAACGGAGTCGTAGAATCAATTTGTGGATAGATTTCTAAAATAGTAAGCCCATAGTTAGGTGGAAATACTGGAAACATTTTTCTAACCATAACTGAAAGTAGTGCAGATCGAGTTTAAAAGAAGTTGAAATAAAGATATTTGATTGTGAGAGGTGGTGTTAATAAAGTTCATCATTGAGTCAACCTGAAGGACATTATAAGCAAAAAGCTGGGAGCCGTTGGTCTACACACTGTGTGCGACCAAGACCGCTGGACAGCCTCTTTATTCAACTCTATTTACATTCATAAGTTATTTGGACATTCACAAAAGTAAAATGTACTTTTAATGCGGACAAATTCATCCTTCTGGGCAGCGTGTGTGTGCAGTCGATTGCAACGATTGCATTAGGGGAGCCGCTACGACTCCAAATTGCATTTTGATGTTGGCCCGGTCGCCAGCAGTCCGGGAGAAAACGATAGATCTTGCACTTACGCCTGCCCACACTTCTGGCATTAAACAGCTAAAAGGGGACCGAGATGTGCGACCAGTCTGTAAAACAGTGCTGTTGCCTGTAGAGCTTTAAAACACGTCGCTGCTTCTCCCCTCGGTATCTCCGTTCTGAAACAGAGCCCAGGGCAGCAGACACTTTTAACACAAGCGCTCTTTGAAATCAGAAACGGCACATTAGTCAGTGTTATTATCATAGGTCAGAAAATCAGCTCTGTCTCAAAGGATGCCTCTCACCTCAGGCTTTTATCAGCAGTATCCTCTAACAGCACCAAAGCACCGCTATAAACATCCATTACACACTGATAGATTTCTACAGATCCAGCTCTCATTTAATATATTTAATGTGTTATTCTAGAGCACCTTATAGTTATTTACTTTCATTATCATAAAAGGAGCGTGTTCACGGACCGGGGGTACAAACCACCAAATGTGTTTTCAGAGATAATGTTGCATTTTCTAGCCATGATTTATGATTATTACTCTGAAAATGACCCTCTGTGTTTCCAGGTAATGACTCCGGCTCTGAGCATTTAAAGTAACCTAACGCTAAAACTGAGTGGAAAGTGGTGTTGTTTCAGGTGTAATTAATCATTACCTTAAAAACTGCAATGGGAATTTGCAATAGGAATCATTAGATACAGCTTTAGTTACTCGATGCATGGAGTGAAAAATGGTGTATACAGAACCAGAACATTAATACAACCTGCATGAGATTCCAATCAGTACATTCAGCTTTGTGCCTCCAAATGTCTCTGACACCTGCTGGGGTGTGGATGTGGGACCTCTGGGGATTTTCTGTGGTGGCTGGCATCATGGGGTTTGCAGTGAATACTCTGGATTCTGTTGCAGGGCGGAGCTTCTGCTAATCGGGCTCATTTCATTGCATTCCAAGTATGTTTGGTCAGATTGGCATCTGGGGAGTTTGGAGTGAAAAAATGTGGCTCTTTGTTATCTTCCTTGTAGTTTTTTCCAACATCACACTGTATATTATCCTGCTGGGCGATGCCATTCCTGCCTGGTGCTTTTGGAGTGTATATTAGGTTCATGTCAAACTAACATTTGCTTGAATGTCAGGTCCAGCAGTTCCCCAGCATACCACTGTTTCAATTTACATTCTAACTCATTGGTATTCATCTTTTGCTTGTGCTGTGGCTGTGTAATATAACAACACTACAAAGACAAATCCTAAAAATTGCCCTTATTGTTCATATTTTGTTCCCATTCACTCTTCTAACACTCTTAATAACATTTTAATGGTCATCCAGCTCCACATTTATATTACTGGACTGCAGCACAGTAGCTTGTTTTGGACATCCTCTGTCCAAAACAAGTTGTTTTAGCTCCTCTTCCTTCAAGCCGTCTTTCTTCTGATGGGCAGTGCCTCACAGTCAAAATATTTGGCGAAATAGGTGGTGCTTCTGTGCTCAAAGAAGACCTGAGAAGACCACACAGAACCTAGAGTAGAGAAGGAAAACTATCTGAACCCAAGGCAGAGCCACAATCATCTTTAGGGTTTGTGGAGAAAACATCCAATGAGGAGCAGGAGTGAAGATGCATTGTTGATGCCAAAGGAGAATGGCAAGACTGGCAAGAAAGGCAACTGCAAGTTTAATAACAATTTGTCACAACCAAGGTCTGCAGAAGAGCGTCTTGAGCTTTGAAGCAGATGAGCTACAGCTACAGAAGACCACACAGGATGCCACTTCTGTCAGCTAAGAACAGAGGCTACAGTTCACATGGAAAAAAATATATGCCATGCAGCCTTTCCTTTTAATAACCTAGGAAATGAGGGAGGGGCATGCACCAAAATGTTCCCACAAAATATTACAAATGAAAGATGTTCAGACTTTTCTCCTGCTACCCTCGTTCTTTCTTTCTGTAGGCGTGTCAATGCCCATTCCAGTGATTGGCCTGCACAACAAGGACAAGGTCTTCGTCAACGGCAGCTGTGTCCTCAACGAGGAGCGCTTCGTGCTGATTGGCTCCTTTGTGGCCTTTTTCATCCCGCTCGTAATCATGGTGGTGACATACTGCCTCACCATACAGGTAGGGCTTTTTTTTTCGTGTTTGTGCGATTGCTCTTCTTTGCAACATGCATCTGTTGTAATGTCTTTACTTTACTGCCTTCATCTATGTCCCCTCCCCTTCAGGTGCTTCAGAGGCAGGCCACAGTCTTCCTGTATGAGGCAAAGACTTCTTCCCAGCAGCCTTTGCACACACCAGCAATGGGAAATACATTGCAGCCTCCACCCAGCACCTTCCACCTTCCTCAGATCAATACACTTGCTCCTCCAGACTCACAAGGTAAACACCTACCAGGACTTTACTGCACCTGTATGTCAGCAGGAAAATCTCCCACTAACTTAACCAATGAATTTATGGTAAATACATGGATTTATTCTTGAAAGTATTAGCAAATAACACACAACCACAGACACATAATTATTGTTAGTGATTTTGTTTTCATGTATTTTATGCTGGTATCCCAGCATGTTTTACTTTCTGAAGGATTTGAATCACTCTAAGTATTAAACCCTCCAGCAATTAAACAAGAAGAAGCACAAAACAAATTGATGGATTTTTATTTTTCCACTCTTGAGATGTTTGAGTCATACCGCCTAAGCATGGCATATTTCAATTTGTGTTTTAATAATGAAGAAGGCCTCCACAGCAGCTCAGCACCAACAGTATGCTTCATTGCACACACACCCTAGGTTTCTTATTCGACTTGGTCTTTAGCTTCAGGGCCTTCAACACTTTCATTATTGGTATGACAAGACTGTACAAATGCAGATAATCAATTTCTAATTAACATAAGGTAAAATTATGATACTGGAGGTTCCTCTGTAAGTGATGTGTGTCTGTGCTCTTTCAACATATCCCTGTGTTAAGACACATAAGAAAGCTCTTCACTTTGAGTAGCTCCATTTTTGATATGGGAAAGGTTGAAACCCAGCCTCTGAGACTCAAGCATGTGGATCCATGACAAGTAAAGCAGCAGCTAAAAGAATCGTCTCTTCTGACTGTACAACAAGTTCTTACCCTGTTTGTCAAATCATGGCCTAGAAACTAGAATCGTGTTTGGGATATTTTTATTTTTTCAAAATTAGGTTGGCCATTGTTTCCCTATTTTGTGGTACTCTGTCCTGGACGTCGCTCTATCAGAGAGTTGTCAGGACATTTTCTGGCTCAGGTGGGTGAGCATGACTCATCGGTGTACAGTAAAGGCAATGGGTCGATCTGCCTGTTACTTCTGATTGTATTGATTGATCCCCTAATTGAGTCTGTTTACATTTATTATGAACAGAAGTAGCAGAAGGGTCCCACTTCAGTGACCTCAGGATCTCGTCTCTGCTTTTTGTGGATGATGTGGTTCTGTTGGCTTCGTCAGGCGATGGCCTCCAGGTCACGCTGGAGCGTTTTTTAGCCGAGTGTGAAGCGGCAGGAATGAGAATAGTGAGGAGGGTACACTCTGGGTCAGGGATGAGTTGCTGCTGACGTGTTTTGCCGTGGGCTTGTTCACGAGTGACGGGGAGCGGGAGATGGACAGACGTAGTGTGGCGGCATCAGCTGACTCCACTCTGGATGCCTCACATTGCACAGTGTAGGGAACGGCAATGATTTGCCCATGAATGTTTAGGGAGTTTTGCTTTCAATTTGCTTTCGGTTTTAAGCAATTTCATTGTTGCTCATTTAATTATGGAAAGTCCAAAACATGATTGATATTCAGTTAACTGTGCAGCTGTATCCTTGTTTATCAGTTATGTGAACGTCGGCTGTTTTCACACAAATATGTGAGCTAAGCACTCAAACAGGTTGAACGACTTTGGTCTGGTCACAAGAGTGGATACATAGAGCCCCTTCTCTCTTATGTGATGAAGCAGCTCTTGGAAATAGCTTCAGATCACAATTCTGGCATCTTCAATCCATTTCACGTCTTTAGAAGCCTGCAGGCCATCCAGGCTGAAGGCAAAAGATCAACTTATCCCGAAGGAAGGGTAGACCTAAACCTACAGGGTGTACCTGATGTAACAAGTCTGCTTATCTTTCAACTTTTGATATCAGGTATTCCCTTATTAAATGCATCTGCTCTCTAAGTTTAGTTATGCATGAGAAAACCCATAACAGATGTTTTTCAGGTTTATGATACTAGAAATAATGAGCTTGGTCTACACCTCTCTACAAGGCAAGTGCTTCTATAATTACTGTATGTTCTTGAAGTGCATAATTACAGGATTCCCAGAAGGATTTCTCGATACCTAAGAGTTTGTATTGTCATCGTAAATCACGTGTAGGCCACGTTGCTCAGCGGGAATAACAGAAGGACAAAGCTTTGCAAAAAAGTTTCTCCAGCTCCGAGCACTTACAGTGGGTAAGGCGAAACAGAAAGCACACTTCGTCAGCTGTTTCCTGAGATGTTGTTGTGCTGCTGAGAAAACAGCATCTATCTGATCTGATCAGTTTGGGCGCCACTCGGACGTTTCCCATTCCAGGCCAAGCCTTGGCTTCTCCAGTTCAGATAAAATTGCATGATACTGCAGTCTCTGCCCATTTTCCATCTTATCCTCTCTCCAATCGCAGACACAGAAAATTGAAAATGAAACATTCAGCTCGTGCCTTAACTTTTCATCTCGCCTCTACCCTACAAAATATCAGCTGCAGTGTTAATAGAAAACTTGACATTCTTTCATTGGCTGGCTGTACAGGCAGCAGTTTTCTGGTTGACACATAATGATAACATGTGCAAGTCCAGCCATTCAGCTTTCCACTAAAACATTTTAAAGGCAAAAGTTTGAAATTTAAATGGTTGTTTTTTTGTCCCTTGCTCAGAGTTGAAGGTCCCGCCTCCTCAAAGCAGACGAAACACCTTGAGCTGCCTGAAGGGCACAGAGCCCAGCATTCTGCTCAGCGCCTCCACCTCAGATAGCATCAGCATCATTCCCAGCTCTGAGGTGGCGTCCCAGCTCAGCTCGCCGGCAGCTGGACCGGGCCGGAGCGACGCGTCAAGTCACGGTCGCCGGGGGATGATGCAGGCCATAAAAAATGAGAGACGGGCCTCAAAGGTGAGAATAAAAAGATTAGTACGTGTAATCAGGGGGTAAATGATAAATGTGCAATAAGTACACCCTCTTAAAGTTTTAATGGTTTACAAAGCAGGACATTAAAAAGTATATATTTGGTCTTAAACACAACCTGAGATGAACAACAACTGAAGTCTGTAGAGTCTGCGAGTCTGAGATCAACCTCTACAAAAGCAGATGTTTTGTGTCATGCAACAGGACAATGATCCCAAGAATAGCAAAATCCACACCCCAACAATTTCAATTTCGGAATGCTTTGGTGGAAAAACCTCTAAAGCTTTCAAACAAAAGGCTTTTTACCTTGGTCTTACTTTGGTTGTGCTGTGTTAAAATTAAATAAAGTTACCATTAGGTTAAAAAGGTGATTCCTGAGTAATAATCCTCAGGCATACACCATCAGCGGTGTAGTCAAAAACGTTCAAATAGTGCTCAGACTAGAAGTAAATACTTAAAAGTGTGCCACTGTTTGACCACTAGGGGTCAGTGTACACAGCAAATTGGATGTGTTTGCCAAAAGGTTGCCTTATACAGTTGTTATAGCATACTGTAGCCTTTTCTGATTTGCATCCAAAGTCTGAAAACTATTTAATGTCTCGTTTAATGCCTCATCATCACTTCTCTTCTGAATGGCGTGTTTCTGTGCCAGACACTTTGAGTAAAAAGACTTGGAGTCGCTGAATGTGTGACTTGGGCTTGGCATTGTCCTCTGAAAATTCAGGTTAACTCTGGATGAAAACCAAAGCCCTCTTATATCTGTAAAATAAGTTTAAATCCTACTAGAAGTGGTGCAATCGCTGGGATATTGAAAGAAAAAGTACGTTTCGGTTGGAAGGAATTCAAACTGGCAAACTTTCTATTCACTATCTTCTTCTTATTCTTTCTTTCCTCCTCTTCCTTTTCCCCCTCTCTCTTCTTCTAGGTTCTAGGAATCGTCTTTTTCCTCTTCCTCATCATGTGGTGTCCCTTCTTTATCACCAACGTCACCTTCGTCTTGTGCAGCAACTCCTGCAACGAGTCACTGCTCCACGACCTCCTCAACGTCTTCGTCTGGGTGGGTTACATCTCCTCTGGAGTCAACCCTCTGGTCTACACCCTCTTCAATAAGACCTACAGGAGAGCGTTCTCCAGCTACATCAGGTGCCAGTACAAAGTCGGGGCCAACGCAGCCAGCCAGGGTTGCAAAACCCTCCTCGTCCCGCCGCCATGCCCTTCACACGCCGTGACTCCTCTTCTTATGGGCGATCACGGGAAGTCAGGTGTGGACCGCAACAGTAACTGTCGCAATGGCGGTAGGGGGGATAACGGGAGGCTCGCAGTGGACCCGGAGGACACGACGGACGATGGGACGCAATTCGGAATAACCTCGCAGAGCATTTCGGAGTGCCAGAACATTTGCATGCTTTCAGAAACAGAGCCGGAAACGGAGCTGGAGCCGGAGCTGGAGCCGGAGCTGGAGCCGGAGCTGTCACTCATCAGCTACAGCCCTGCCCCGAGAGAACACACAAGCAGCGTGTGACTGTGTGCATCCGGTCAGTTTTAGTCTTCTGCAACCTGCAGATGCTGTTCCAAGCAGGGCTGGTGCTTGGACACGACAGCTTTTCTACTGGTTTCAACTGTAGTGAGGACTCTTACTGGGAAAAGGACTAGTCTCTGCTGACAAGCCTTTTTCTCCGTACTATGTCCATCAATGTGGAAAGAAACCGGAAGAGTTAATATTTCGGGTTGGAAAGGTAGAATGAAAACCAATATTTCCAGTGTGCTTGTTTTGTAAATGTTGGCTTTCATAACATTAATAGAAAACAAAGGCATCCACCAGGCCTTTACCTGTACATCTAAGCACTCATCAGTGGCAAGATGTGGGGGCTCCTCATGGCATTGACAATACCAGCTGAGATCCACTGAAAGGGATGAAGTGAAGAGGTCGGTGGAGAGCCAGCTCTCGTCAACCTAGCATTAAGTCAAGTGGCCCTTCACGGAGTCCCACAGACGCAGGTTACAGAGTCAAGCACCAACCGGGAGGCCACTGGGGTCAATCTACGCCTTCAAGCCTTCACACAGAGTCAAAATGCAGTCCGAGCTCGGGTCCACGTGGATTCCCTCCACACCAAGCAAACTAAACCAAATATATTTTTGTGCCGGTCGAGCTTGACAACAACAGCAGTCCTGAGAGCCATCTGAATGAACCTCTCCAGCATGTTTAATGAAACTATTCAGCCGACAGGAGGGGGATGTTTCTCTGAAGGAAACTGCAGTTGAAGCGTGTCTGAGGGGACCAACATAAAGGAATGTACTACCGCTGGTCTCTGGTGGACTCACAGTGCCATCTAGTGGTCACATGACTCAGAGAGGTCGCCTCTTACCCTCCCCCTTTCTCCTTTATTGGACTGAACAAGGGGGATACAAGAGCTAAGAAACAAGGTGCAGGCCTTTGGCTTAACACAGCTGACAGGCTCTGGCTTCTGTTGACCAACAGAAACACTTTGCAAAATGCTAAATTCACTACTTCCACAGGTTTTTAACTCAAAGCAACCAATGAAATCTTAAATAAAAGTAAAACAGTCTAAAAGGAATGCATTATATGTAATTTTTTTATGTTAAGTTGAACTCTTTTCATGTTTACACTCATTACTCATTCCCACTCTTTTCTTTATACAAGCCAAACGGGGAAATGTATATCTTTTGCATTCACCCATTAAAACAAGACTACAGTGTAACGTAGCCTCATGCAAATAAATGAAAAGTTTGAGTCAAAGCAGGTTTGATTTTTGATTGATTTGCCACAACTTATATGTGACTTTAATCTTGACTATATCCCAAACTAATGAGCATGCATATCATATTATCAGGTTGCGCATCAGGATTTTCATATCATCTACAAGCACAAATCTTCGCAATTTGATATTCTGGGCATCTGTGAAGGACACATCCTTGAATTGAAAAGAACCTCTGTGTCATCTACTTTAAAAAAGAAAAGAATGAGGGATTTGTATTCAAGGACAGTTATTAATTTAGTCCTGTTTCAGTCATTCTGCAGGCTAAAACCTGCTTGAAGGGTAGAGTGAAGGCCAAAAAAGTAAGAAATTAAAGAACACTAATGGCTTTGTTTGCATATAAATCAACAAATTTTAGTAATAATCGAAGAATTACACTGAAACTAAAGCTCCAATGATGGTTTGCTTGGCAGTGTTTCAACCCTGCACTGAGTCAGACTCTCTGATCTTCTACAGCTTCACAGTAACTCACAGTTAAGACCAAGTAGCTTTGGATTTCATCCGTGAGACGGACAGAAAGTCGATACCCTAAGAGACAAAGTCCCCAACACTCAGAGCCCTGTCACTCTGACTCCACCTCTCTCACTCCCACTTTCCCTCCTCCCACATTTTTATTGACATCTGACAAGACGGCATGCTTCATCCACTCTGGATGAAATACCTGCAGTTTGATTTTCTCATGAACAAATTCACAAATTTATCCGAGATAACAGAGGACATCATGAGGTAATTCTAATCGGCCCGATTCTAATTCCTGCTAGAAATACCTCAGCTTTTAGTTTTTACTGTCAAGGCATTCACATTTAACGAACGATCCATTTACAAAATCGATGAAGAACAGCCTGAGATGGCCTGAAAAAGGAACTAGATCTTCAAAAATATGTCTTAGTTCTGGTCGACCGTCACTGCAAAGAAATCCCAGGGTCATAAATCAAACAAAAGACACAGCTCACTGGTTTTACACAAACTTGGTTTGGTGTGACAGACCATTAATAACATCTTTGTCAGGAAGAAATAATCAGCAGTTTGTCCAGTCGCTCTCATGGCAGTTTGTAAAACTTTGTGTTAAAGACAAAAATTCCTTCTCTGCACCCTGAACGTTGTTCAAAAACACTCGGCCAACCAGGATGGGATCCATTTGCTGGGACGATTCTGGACAACACCCCTAATGTAGACTATATAATCTTAAGTCAAAGACGCAGTCAAAGATGCAGATAGGTAATACAGCACTAGCTTTACAAACCTGCTTGTTTTTATTGATCCAATGTGTCCTGTGGAAGTAAAATACCCAAAATGCTGGATGGAGAACTTGTTTTAAAACAGCAAAGACTAAGTATCTGCAACACTCTGCCTTACAAAAGATATAATACTGTGTGGAGTTTGAAGGTCAAGTTCATGCTTTTCATCAAGAACTTCGCCTCTTAGAAGATAAGATATGAATGTATAAAGAAGATTTAACCTTAAATTAAAAGTTGGGCTAAATTTACTGGAGTTTTTCAAAGTAAAACAAAATCACAGTGCTTCTCCATAAAAGAAAACAATACTAGAAAGATGGCTATTTAGTAGAAAAAAGACCCTTAAAATGAAAGATGAATACTTTGCATTATTGGAAAATCTCTTTCCATCCACTGTTTCCACTTTATTGACCAGTCTTTGTTCAATCTGCCTCGTTTTTCTAAACGAATACTTTCTAAAACATAATATCTCTGACTGGCTCACACTTAATGACTACTTTTGTATAGTAGATGGCAGTTTCTCTAGAAATCAATATTTGATGTTCTTAATAATCGCCTCAAGCATATAAAAACACTAAGAACTTACAAACACTTGAATGTTTATTACCCATAATCTCCCCTACGCCCTTCAAAATCAAAGAGTAAAAGGTCAAAGCCTTCAATGTGATCAATCGAACCTAGAGCCTGAGGTCTGCAGCCACCTCTGCATGCAATTAGAATGAACCATAATAGTTTCCTTTGTTCTAATTCTATGCGCCTCTGTATAATTTATCCACTATTTGTATGCTACAGACTTACCCAGTGGGCATTGGCACCACTTTTGTCTCCACAAGGAGAGATCTACATGAGCTAATGTTGGCAAGCCAACAATGAGGTTTGACCCACGAATATCATGCATGTTTAAAGTGTTGTTCAAAAGGTCCTCTCTGCCTCACTTAGGTTTTTGCTTTCTTGTGAAGTACAGGAAAGAAATAAAGAACAAACACAGGGCAATCAACAAAACGCACCATCCAAACAGCATTCGGGCATTTTATCCTCATTGACTTCCCAATTATCACAATAATATGTAAACAAGGGGAAAAACAAGAAAAAAAATAAAAGGAGAAGAGAGGACTCTCTGAACCTGGTTGAAAGGATTGTGTTCCGGCACGGAAAGAGCCGCTGCCAGGCCAGCCAACTCACTATGTCACAATGTAATAGCTCTATGTTTCTCGTGTACCTGTGTGTGTACCGAGCTTGGCTCAAATTGCAGTCTGAGATTGATTCAGAAGCTTTTCTGGGTTTTATTGATTGTGTCCAGCACAGTGGACTGAACCGCGAACGTCCCTGCAGGTGCCAGTCCTGTCCGGACAGCTGAAAGCAATCACTTTGAAAAGATTTCAGTGAAATTCGATCCAGGCCTGGTGTGTATAGACATAGCTGGAGCCGTTTTCTGACAGACTTTCTTTTCAGTACAAAGAAAGAGAGAAAGATTCTTCCCTCTCTGGGAGCTTTTTGGGTTTATGTTAAAGATTAAAGGAAAAATCCCAGAAATGCTACAGCAGTGTATAGAAACTCATAAAGGGATGACAATGCGCTGTATCTTGTGTTAGCTGACACATTTTCTTACCTGGTATGAATCATTTTACATTTTCAAGGAATTATGTGTCTATACAGAGACTCAAGGAATGTTCTGACATTATGAGAAATGTGTTTTTTTGCTTTAATTAGATGATCATTAGCAAAGCCAGGACACTGTTAGCCTAGGCTAGCATAAACACTGGGAGCAGAGTGAACCTGCTAGCCTTAGCAACACATCTGAATAATACATGATCTGTCATTTATTATTTATTTAAAAAACCCAACAAGTAGAAGTATTATAAGAACTTCTTTTGTGGCCACAAATTGTGAATTATAGTTTTGAAATTTCAATAGCACCTTGGTTAAGCTAACTAGCTAGCAAATATTAGTTACTCCATGCTAGCACTTGAAGACAGGTCTGACATGCTAGTGCTAATGGGGGTTCATTTCGTAATTTTTATGATTTTTTTTATGATGATTACATCAGAATCTCCTCCTTTTGGTATAAAATGATGCACTATGCCAGGCTTCATTTTGCTGTAAGTGCATATTTTATAACGCATTATGATTAAATAGTATATTTGAATAACACCTGGCACATAAGCCGGGATTATACTTTGTATGTCTGCAAGTAATTTCATCATCAAACAGTGAGTGCAAGGGTCCATGTGGATGTCCCTGTGCTTGCATGCTTTTTGTAACAGCTCTGACTTATCCGAGGAGAAATTGCATGCCAACTATGTAAGCGCCTCAGGTGGCAGACTTCAATCAGGAAAGACTACTCAGTCATCAGGTGTCCACAGTGGAGTATACTCAAGAGCTTAACCTTTTAACATCCTCCTGGTCTCCCCCCAGGGTGGGATTATGGTTGCAATATACACACAATTAATAAATTCATTATGGCATTGCAGGTATTAGTGTTTGCATTTCTTCCAAATAGGCAGAAATTCTATAGAAAAACTTTGACTTTAACATATCCCTAACCCTACTCTCTAGCATTACCAGATTTAGTGGCTGTTAAAAGGTTAGAAAATAACTTTTTTATTTTTATTTTCCAGCAACTTATACAGAACAGAAGATCTATTCTGTTTGGCAATGTACCCTGTTCATCATGAAGGAGAAGAAAAAGCACTAAAGCCAACCTTAGCAAGCCTTGATTATTTAATATTATCCTGATTCTGTCCGGACTCACTTTGGCCCAGAAAATATCATCCTGACAGTTTTCTGGTGTGATGTAAGCATGTAGCAAAAATATCCTCTGCGCTTTTACATCAGTTCTCAATATTTCAGTCCAAACATAACGCTGGACAAGACTTTTGAAACGCCAACTCATATGAGCACATCCTATTGTGTATATAAAATCATAAAAAAACAGCAACAAAGTCAAATGCACATATTTCCCAGAATGTCATAATCTTTACTTTTCTATCTCACGGAAATAGCAATAAATTGCTGCAATTAAACACAAAATAATTCCTGCCATTTCCGGATCATTTGGAAGGATGTCAAAGAGTGTAAGAGAACCCCAGGAGCTCGCAACATGTTACAGTTTTCAGATAAAAATGCATTTGCAAAACTGCTAATCAGACTTTTCAGCAGAGCTTTTTGAAAGGTACTCTGGTTGATCTTCCCAAACATGCAACTCTGTCACTAAACGGCTCAGAAAGTAGCCAGGATGTTCAAGAGTCTGACAAACCCAGCAACTCTAAATCCAATTTCATTGCAGACGACATTCGTTCTCGAGCCCCGAATTTAAACACCCTCTTTGATGCTGGTTTGCATCGACACAGAAATCTGGTTTGTCTCGTTCTTGTATTATCCGGCGCTCGTGGGTTTGAACTTTTTATGCGTTGAACTTTTTTGTGTTATGTAGTGGATGTTTGTTTTTTTGTTTTATTTTATTTTTTTGTTTTTTATACCATTTTAATTGTGAATGTTTGTCTATGACACATTTTTATGAGTTTTTACAATTTATGTCACCATCCACATGATGTTTTTTT